TGTGCGTGTGTGCCAGTGCTGAAGAGGGATTACGAGAGGACGGGAAACTAAAAATGCGTGCTGGGGTTGTGTAGGTATGCGAAAGGTACATTCTGGCCAAGCCAAATATTACCAAAATCACATTTTTATAGTGGCCTTATCAACCAGGCAAATATATATTTACCAAGCTTGCCTCCATTTTGAGTGGAAGTGTTTGGGGAAAAGATTCAAAGGTCAATCCCATCAGAAGACGACGAGGGATCCATCTTAGCTAGCTTTCTTTTGGTTTTTCTGGAACATTCTTGTTGAAAACAAATCGACAGCTGATCAGGAGGAATCGCCGTAGACTGCTGGTTGTAACGACCAGATACTTTCACTCGAAATGGAATTGAACTCAACAATTATAAACCAAGCGATTCTTCGAAATTCCACTTTTCTTCGAAGCTACTTATTTTCGATTTGAGTAGGCCATGCCTGGTACATGGACGCTCTAACAACTGCCTCGTAGTTGTTGCAGAAACAAGCATCGGGACCTTCAACAGACGATTCGTTGAAATAAGACGCTGGTGCAGAAGCGATGGGAGTAGCCACAGACGAAGGGAGAAACGGTGAAGCCGACTGCGATAAGAGTCATGCCGTCTGGTGGGAAGGGAGACTTCTGATTTGTGCTGGGCGAGTGACTTGGCTCGTTACGGTTGGTCGACAGTCGGATGAGTCAGAAGAAAAGGTTCTTGTCTAAAATAACTGCTGAGGCGGTGTCCATTGTTAAGGGAGGTTTAGGTGAAGACAAGCTAAGGCGCTAAGGGGCTATATGGAGACTGATATTTCGTAATAAATTGCCTGATGAGGAGATTCGTGGGTCGATTTTACCAACAAATAGCTCTCTTTACTTCGGATGGAAACTGACTAAGCTTGCGTCAGTCACGCCACTCGAAGGACATATACAGAGCTGGTACCCATTTTTGAAAAAACTTCAAATTAACACAAAACCAATATGACCAATGTGCTCTATCCTACAAGCTAGATAAATTCATTAATAAAAAAATAAAATATATAGATTAAAAAAAACATTATTTCGTTTTTACTTTCATATGTATATATAATGAATTTATTTCCATATATATATATATATATATACAGTATATGAATAGA